ATATATATATAAATTTTATAATAAAAACGGATTTCTTTTACTGTACAGTGTTTAATTCATCGCCACAATGAGAAAAATGTTTTGGTTATGTCAACAAGAAGTATATCAACAATACAAACAAAGTGCATTGTGATCATACTAATCAGAATTCTGATTATCATAATTATCTTGAGTAGAATATTTGATAGATTCAACTATAAGTATCGGATTTATATTTTTTTTATTAAAACTATTTAATTTCCAATTTATGTAATCAAATTTTGTTTCCCATGCTTTTATCGTCACAAAATACACAGCTACTTACTTAGTTTCAGTAACTTTCTGATGATCATCCGTAGATATGAAACCGAGTAGCCACGTCGGTCGCTTATCATTTGCTGTCGCCGCTCGAATAGTTTTAATCAATCTGGCGGAACAAGCCGGTGAAACCGAACACGAGACAGCCTCTTTATTAGTCCTTTCACCTGGTGACCTGATTTTTCGCTCCGTCATCAAGTGGTAGTTCAATAAGACGTGCAACGCCTATATCAAGTACATAGTACTAAAAATATCTGATATCTATTCAACAGGTGTTCGAGAGTGTCAATGTACTCACGAAGTAATCCGCGACGGATACAAATCGCAATAGAATACTTTAAAGCCAAGCCGCTGCATTCTCGTGAACGTAAAACGATGGGTCACGCAAAGGCGTTAATCGTCTTATCCAAATCACGAAAGCACTTGTAAATTATTCTCAATAACTATATTTCCGTTGCTGTTCTCAATAAAACAGCAGCATTAATTCTTAATGATTTGGTCAAATGGTTGTATTAAGAGTCGCATTGGCATTGTCAATTTGATTGACTTATTAATAGATAAATTCAATTTGAGATTAATACAATCCTGAAACATGAATGTATATTCGATAGATTATCTTAAGCTCGTATCAGCTTTGAATTGAAATTATAGAGAAATTATGCATTCTCGGAAAAAAATTGTTAATTATAATTGGCTTATTTTGAGCCAACACAAAATATAACTGTGTACAAATTTTATCCTATACAAGTGATACATGTATACGTTTCGACCACTAGTTTGGGTTTTCTTCAGAATCATATAATAATTAAACGAATGCAAAATTAATGATAATAAAATGATAATGAAATTGAATCTTACAAAGCATTATATTCGGATCGAAATTCTTTTTTGTAGCGAATGTTGGATTGAATGGTAGTAATGTTATTGCGTATCTCTCATATATTTGTCTATTTACATCATTGCATTAAATTGCCAAATTTATTAAACATTGAATATTATGTTATTGCTTATAATTAGAGAGAAATTATTATTTTTCAAAATTTACATGAAAATGTTATATAGAACATATATTGAAGATATTGACCTACATAAATATTTTCAGATGGGTATCTAACTAAATTTCTATAGATACATCAATGAAACCGTTGTGTAATATCCAAAAACTCTTGTAATTGATTTCTCTTTTTTTCTCGATTTGTCTACCCTTTAAGTTATCAATCGACTAATACTTTCCTAAAGTCCTTAGAAATCTTTCTTTCATGGATAGATCTTCACACGCGATGGGTAGATTAGCACGATTCTCTGTTACTTTTTGTTACCTCAATGTAGCTTTGAGCTCAACGTTGGACTATTCGATCGGATTATACCTCGTATATCAAGTTTGCACACGCATACGTCATTTACTCCAAGATTTGCACGAAAAATACCGTAATTAGAGCTAATTACAATTAGTCTTTACGCTCTCAAACCGGTGCGCCGCCCGGTGTCGATTCGGAAAAGCAATGAGCGGAAATATATATTGAAGAAAAGGATTTTTTTTCTCTCATTTCTTCTTCTACAATTTTCTCTTTTAATGAATATATAAAATCGTAGAGAATCTGCGGTGGCATCGGCAGATGTACGTCTCGTTTCTCGCGCTCCACACAAAGGAGTGTCTATGGCTCTAGCTAATCCGCCTCGTGAAACTCGATATCTCACACGTGACGACAACTTGTGTGTAGGGAGCTTATAAGTATTCCAAGTGTCGTTCGCGAGCCATTATGTCATCCTCTTATATCGAGCACGTTCCCATACAATACTCGCGATTGGATACTTGGTGTGACGAACTCGACTTAATAATAATTGTTCATAGCTTATGCTCTCTTTATTTTGCATATTATATTAAGAGCCCCATTCTTTAATCCTTAATAAACTTTAACTTATTATCGAACGATTATTCGTTGTGAACAATTTTTCCTTTTCTACAAATACTGACTGCTCATTAATCACACAAAATGGTAACAAAATTGTCGTAAACTTAACAACATCTATCTAATTGCTGTTGAATTTATGACAGTTTTGTCGCTAGTTTGTTATGAAATAAGAAATGTTCTTTACTAACGACAATCGTTCAATAACAATATTGTTAAGAATCATAGAAAAGAGCCCTATAAGGTAATTCATTTCTATATATTCAATGTAGATTAACTTTAATCTCGATTTAATTTAGGTACTTTGTATCTTTTTCTAATTCTAAGTTAAAATTTTTTCTTTTCTAAGAATTAGAAAATGATAACAGCCGGATTATAGTGGATATTAAATAAACATTTTAAATAATGCAGCTAACAATATAATGCCATCAATATAATAAATGCCGTCGAAATTAATCTAAGGAAACGCAAAATTGCATTAATTTAGGATCCAGTCACATAAATTGCTTAAAGTCGCATAATTTCATTCATAAAACACGAGATGATCTCAAGTGGAATTCGGGAATCCCGCAGTTTGTAACAAATGATCGTGAACTTCTCACTAAACATAAAAGCTGAATTAGTATTACTTATATAAATGAGTAATCTTTGTGATTTTTATTTTTCTACGATTTCTGGTTAAACAGGGTTTTTCGACTTGTATTCTTATTTTACATTTGTTACATAGCAAATATATAGTGTCTTGTTATTTTTAAAATTGAACATATTAAAATAAATTACAATAAATATAATATATATCTTTTTATATTATATAATTATATATTAATAATTAGTAATTATACACGCCTTTTAAAATTTATCCTGAAAATGTAGGAGTTGCGGTATAATACAATTTAAAGATTTTTACCAATTTTAAGATTTTGCACCTCAGTAAAATCGATCAAACTTATTTTATTACTTTATTGTAGTTTTATTAATGAATGAGAGAAATTTACATTAAAAAATTCTTCGAAATACAATTTTGTCCCATGACTGTCATATTTTCAGAGTAGATTCTAAGAAAAAATTCCGTGTATTATTATAATTAATAATGTCTAATTATTTGTAATAAATAATTATTATTGATGTATTTTATTAACATGTATATGTTAGTTTATAATAAATATAATTTTATTATAATACAAAATAAATTTGCGTAACATAATGAAGCAAATTTCTAGAAAAACAGGAAAAAAATTCAATTGATTCAAGGATGCTCATAATATCGCGCAACCTTGTTCCACGTTATATTCGATGAATATTCATTGCAGGACGATTTGTATTCTCATCGCACCTTGCTGTTTTTGCAGACCAAAACGGATGCCGATGTCATCAAGATGATGGCCTACATTCTTATCATCGCTGGTGCTCTCACGTTCATTATCAGTTTTCTTGGGTATTGCGGCGCTATGTTCGAGTCCAGGTGTCTCCTCTGTGTCGTAAGTCCGTTCTGATAAAACACAATAATTCCATCTCGCCTATATGTATGTATGGCACTTGCAGTCTAATGTAAAATCACAGAGATTCACGAAACATATCAAAAAATTACAAATTTTCTCATGTGTTTCTTACATGTTTAGTATCTAAAAATAGAAATATTATACGTTTTTAATTCACATGCAAATAACTTTGAGTCAATAGTGAGTGATAAATACGATTTTTAACAAGAAATTTTATAACGACTTTGCATCTCTTTCAATGTGTACTTTAACACAAAATTAGCAGTCCTGCTGATTGTAGATATCCAGTAATCGATTAATTTAAAACAGACGACATAAAATTTAGCGCTGTTTAATTGTAATAACAATATAATGATATTTTCTCCGTGGTTTTTTTTTTCTCTCATTTATGATGTACATAATAGCGAATACAAAATACTTAATGTTCGTTATTGCTGGTATAATTGAGAGAAGAAATTATTTACAAAATTATCGAAATAAACATAAAATAAACTTTTTTGAAAATAATAAGGCAATCTGTTGTGTATTTTCGATTTATTTTCTTATATCTAAAATCACTGCCTTGTTAATAAAATCGGGCGCGAAATCGGGACGAAATTACACAAAAAGGAGAAATCATTTTCTGTGATTACAGTATGGCATTTTAATCTTGGTGGTTTTGATCCTGGAGTGTGTAGTAGTCGGCCTCGCTTTTGGACTTAAAGGAGACGTGCGTATTTATAATTATCATATATGCCGCGCGATTTCTAATTTCTACCAGTGTCGAACAATTTATCAGTTACATATATTAATGTATATATTTTTTAATAAAATTCACTTTAGTATGAAATTATGCAGGTCGAGAAAGGTACGCAGGACTTCTTGAAGGATACCATCGCTAAGTATTATGCGACCACCAGCGATAAAATTGATACGGTGACAGTCGCGTGGGATGGTATCATGAGTAAGGTAAAGTTACTAATTATAACGATAACATAATTTCGACAAGCTGACACGCGAATTGATCGTACATTGATTCTTCCGGATTTTATGTATTTTGCTTGTATAAACGCAATTAATTTGCCAAGTGATTCGCTAACTGCACAGCGCGCAGCACGGGCGGTTTGGTATAAGTGAAAGCTGAATATCTCAGGACGAGTTATCGGCACTCATACCACTTTGTAGTGAAATTGCATATTACAAACGCTCGTCAGAATTTTGTTTTAAGCGTCTTGATAAATTACGGAGAAAATTGATAGGAAAGCAGATAAGTTATATAGAGAAATGTCACAATTTTCTTTTTTAAACTAAAATCAAGAGAAATATCATATAATTATATCGTATAATTATTATAAACACGCTTAATTAAATTGCTAATTTAAATTATTTAAAAAGATAATTTAATTAACGTTTATATAAATATATGCATAACATCCTTACGGGTCCACGAGGACAGTAAATGAAAAAAGAAAAATTTTATCGATCAAAGACAGAAAGACAAAATTGTCCAATATTGATGGAAATATTTGCAGCTCCATTGTTGCGGCGTAGAAAATTATCGAGATTTTAGCGAAAATAAGAACTGGACTACAATGGTCGGAAAAATGGTCCCTGATGCCTGCTGTATAAAAGAAAATGATGTTCTGAAGGATTCTACATGTCCAATAAATCCCACCTCGTTTAATACGTACCAAACAGTAAGTTGGGTCTTATTTACATTTTAATTTTTTAACGGCTCTTTTTTATATTATTCTTTTATGTATTATGATGTATCTAGCGCTCGAACCGACCAGCATTCTAGGTATAATTATTTTTGCAAACATATGTCGTATATACATATACGTAGCTGTTCACGTATAACACACTTTCTCCTTGGCAATTTTCTGAGAGTAACTCGACATTGGCATTGCGTGCGTTTATTATAGTTCATCCCATCAGGGTTGAGCAGAACTGTTAAAAAAAAAAAAAATTAAACATTGATCTCTTTTTTTTGTATAAAACATATTTTTAATGTTCTACGTATCTCTTTAAACAAAAAGAATCATGTTCAAGACAAAAAATATTTTTTAAAACGTATATTTGTTTATATTCTACATATTAGATATGTATATTAGAGATTTCTTTAGATTTAATTTTATTTCCATATGTAAATTTTCAATAATTAGTAATGTCGATAGTATAGGAAAGGTCCCTATTATGAGATACCGAGTGCATTTTGGGTAAATGCTAGAAGTCTATGGCCAGAATTTAAAAAAATAATAGGTCATTTTGAAGAGAATTTAATAAGCTTTAAGATAATGCTATAAAATTTAATTCAAATTCCATTTTTTTTTTAAATTAAAGAAATGTAAAAAGTGAACAGATTGCAAAAAATTACAAAAAATTGTCAAAAATTTTTTGTAATTATAATCATATTGTCTCTGAGGATGGCTCAAAAGTGAGCCGAAATGTAAGCGGATTAATTATTATTAAAGTTGTTTTGTTAACTGTATTTGCACAAGAATTACCATGCTTGACTCTCATTATTTCCAACCTGTTATATCCAATTATCATATCCATTTTGTGCTTCTAATATGAAATGCCCCTAATATAAAAAATGAGAGAGAAATCAAATAATAAAACGCAAAATATATCAGCATTGCGATTAAAAAACTTTATTTAATGTATCTTAAATACAAACAAATATAGCTGCGCGAAAAATGAGTATGCAATACATCATTACACCCAGAAATCATCTTCAGATAGTTCAAATGGAGCATCGCAGAAATAGGCACTCAATGTTTATTCATTGTCCTTTTTATTATTGTACAATGACTTATACTTTAGCAACAATTTTCACTATGGCATGAGAGCATAGGTTATTTCATATTAGAAATACCCTGGGTATTTCATATTATGATTTCCACAGCTTATGGTTTTACGATCATCAAATCTAACTTCTGTAATTAAGCAATTCAACATATCTCGTATATTTCTATTAATACGATCTTACTCTATCACTATATGAAGAATTTATTGCCAAATATTTATTTATTAAATAATAAACAATGTTTAAAAGCTCATCTCAATGAAACTTGAAGACATCTAAAATCTTTTTTTACAATTATTATAGGCATGATCTAATAATGAATTTTCTACTAAACAGTTTTCAATCCAAGAGCAATAAATTCATGATGGAATCAATAGATAGCGTCTATTTAGCAGATAGTATCTAGTTTAGCAGAAACGCCGTTATCTCATATTAGGCGCCTATTTCATAATAGGGGCCTAGACTTTCCTCTATAAATATAATATTGGCAGTGTATTGCATTTATATTGGTTCGATATAGAGGGTGATTGTCCATAGATATTCGAGCAAATACCTTACAATTGGTTGAAGTTTAATACGCAAATTTGCACAGCTTTGAATTAACTACAAAGCGTAAAATAAAAAAAATAAAATTTTTTTTATTTATGATTATTTCGAGTTATGAAGTTCAACGTAGATTTTTTAAAATGGATACCTATAATTTTGGTATATTATAGGAATTATTTACAATCAAAATCATATTTGGTTAAATGCATCGTTTACAAGTTGACATTTTATATCAAAGTAATTAATTGTTAAGTATTTTTGTGGTTTGAAATTTCAAAGAGTAAAAAAGTACAAAAACAAACAACAGGTTTTCATGAAACCTCTATTAGTGTATAAGAATTGCTTGAAATTTTGAATATTATGTTCGATACAGCATTCAGCGTGTTACAACTTTTATAATATTTCTCTACGAATCCAAAAAATGTATTTATATTATTCTTATTCATTTTTATTCATTTATTCGGATATTGATCAACGTAATTATCGATTACATTATTTTCTGTCATTTAAATCTCATTGTCAGATTGAAACTTTGTAAAAGCGGGGTTTTTTACACTCGAAATTCGCTTTTGAAATACAAGTTCAGGGTTGTCTGACAGACTTGGAAATCCGGGAAAAATTAGGGAAAAATGTAAAAAAGTCTAGAATTTTGAAATTTATTCACAATTTCCTTAAACTGTTCCTATTCTAGATAATTATTATAATTTTTTAAAATTACATTTGATGTTTTTATAGTGAAATATGTTCAAAACTCGCACACTTTAAACGATTTTAATAAAATAATTAAAATTTATATTTTATTAATATGTTTATTTGATCGCTTTTTCATAACTGCATTCTTTTTTTCAATACTAATTTATTTTTTTTTTTTGGCTTGAATTTGCACCCAAAATTTTAGCTAGCTTTCCTACAATTCTTGACTTTAAATGTGTTAAAATGTGTTAAAAATATATTTTATATTGGAAAATTTTTCATTTTCATCTGGAAAATTTAGAAAAGGGAATTTTAAAATTTATTTTCTGTGGCAACCCTGAAGTTTTAATACACGAAAATTGCCTGAATTTTCAATTCAGTGGCACTGAGATAATTTTTCTCTTTTTTAGGGAGGGGGGAGGGGGAAAATTAATTTTGATTGATATGTTGTATAAAAATTGACATACATGATTATTTGATTACATTTGCTTATCTATAGGGTTGCTACAAGGCCATAATGACAGCCATCGAGGAGAATGCAGCGATTGTAATCGGTGTGGCCGCTACCCTAGTCTTCGTCGAGGTCCTGGTGATTATTCTGGCGTTGTACCTAGCCTGCTGCTATTGGCGCCCACAACATGGTAGGCTCGGTGTTAAAGTCATTTACTAAATCCCGGTATTAAGCGTGCATAAGTAACTTACTTATTTCCGCTGAACGATTTCCTCGGCCATTAGGGACGTCAGCTACTCTATTCATTTACGGTAAAATGTGACCTATTTGACACTTTGCAGTTTATCGATGCGTAGAACCTTCTGGCAAGGAGTAACCTCGAGAGCAGAATGTGCTAAGCTTTCTGCCAGCAGTTCTTTTGAACGCAGTTTCTTTTTCTTTAAGGACTTTGCGAATACCTCGATTGTGTTTATACGTGTTATATTTAATATACGTATATAACACATATAATGTACGTACGCATACATGCATATATATATATATATATATATATATATATATATACACACATATCT